TACCTAGCTCTCATGCATGGTATGGTGACTACCTAGTTCTCAATACATGGTATGATGACTACTTACCTCTCACTGCATGGTATGGTGAATACTTACCTATCACTGCATGGTATGGTGACTACTTATCTCTCACTGCATGGTATGGCGACTACCTAGCTCTCAATGCACGGTATGGTGACTACCTAGCTCTCACTGCATGGTATGGTGACTACCTAGCTCTCAATGCACGGTATGGTGACTACCTAGCTCTCACTGCATGGTATGGTGACTACCTAGCTCTCACTGCATGGTATGGCGACTACCTAGCTCTCACTGCATGGTATGGTGACTACCTAGCTCTCACTGCGTGGTATGGTGACTACCTAGCTCTCACTACATGGTATGGTGACTACCTAGCTCTCACTACATGGTATGGTGACTACTTATCTCTCACTGCATGGTATGGTGACTACCTAGCTCTCACTGCATGGTATGGTGACTACCTAGCTCTCACTGCGTGGTATGGTGACTACCTAGCTCTCACTACATGGTATGGTGACTACCTAGCTCTCACTACATGGTATGGTGACTACTTACCTCTCACTGCATGGTATGGTGACTACCTAGCTCTCACTGCATGGTATGGTGACTACCTAGCTCTCACTGCATGGTATGGTGACTACCTAGCTCTCACTGCATGGTATGGTGACTACCTAGCTCTCACTGCATGGTATGGTGACTACCTAGCTCTCACTACATGGTATGGTGACTACCTAGCTCTCACTGCATGGTATGGTGACTACCTAGCTCTCACTGCATGGTATGGTGACTACCTAGCTCTCACTACATGGTATGGTGACTACCTAGCTCTCACTGCATGGTATGGTGACTACCTAGCTCTCACTGCATGGTATGGTGACTACCTAGCTCTCACTGCATGGTATGGTGACTACCTAGCTCTCACTGCATGGTATGGTGACTACCTAGCTCTCACTACATGGTATGGTGACTACCTAGCTCTCACTGCACGGTATGGTGACTACCTAGCTCTCACTGCACGGTATGGTGACTACCTAGCTCTCACTGCACGGTATGGTGACTACCTAGCTCTCACTGTATTGTATGGTGACTACTTAGCTCTCACTGCATGGTATGGTGACTACCTAGCTCTCACTA